GGGCATGAAAACAACATTCACACACATTTCAAACCATGAAAAGGAGATGGCAGAAAACAAACACCCTCCAGAAAATAGGAAGGCAACAAAACACTTGTAGTAGCCCCATCAGGACACAGATCCTCACGGTTTGATTCAGAAACTTGATGGGGGCACACACAGACTCAGCGGGCTCAGTAAAAGATGCAGAGGCTCATTATTAATAACAAGCCAATGATTATTATTAATATCCTTAAAGGCCAAGAAGCCAGAGCAGAAAACAAACTAGCATGTGCTGGAAGTGAGACGTGCACTAAAGGGGCCCTTCTCTTGGAACTTGGGCTCAATCAGCCGATGCAATTGTTGTTGAAATGCATTCTGTGCTTGCCTTCCATGGTGGTTGTGCCCACTGGGGACAAAGAACCTAAACTGGCTTAAACCTAGAAAGCCCAATGGGGTCTTTATTTCTCAAGTGATGGTCAGTCCACAGAAACTGAGGGGAAGAAATGATCAACCAGGAAAAAAGATTATGTCTAGCATGGATGAAGGATGGAGATGAAGGGTAAGGAAGAGAGAAAGTGGATGGAGCGAATCAAGGAGATTACAGGACAGCCCTTGGAAGCGCTATAATTTAATTAAAGAAGAACCAAATAAATGTAATAGGTTGAAGATTGCAATTATGATGAGAAGCTTGCTTCTGTTTCAACTGAGTTTTAAAAGAATAATGTTTTTTGCAGCTTTGAGTTTTTCTTGCCTTCAAAATTGCTTTTTGTCCTGAGGTGTAATTTAATATCTCTCCCGCTATTCTTTAGCCTACGTTTCCAAAGGCAGAGGAGTCACTTCAGATGGAGAATTCCCTCCTGTTTCTTCCTGCAACCTGTCATACTGAGAAGTGCGTTCCTGTGATTAGGTAATGAGTGACCGAGAGCAGGGCTTCCCAGTGAATCTAGGAGAATCCCCAAATTGTGGCTCATTCATTGGTGCATCTCTGTTCAAAGTCAGAGATGGAATTTCCCTTGAATTGTAAGGTCCACAAATCCAAACGTATTCAATCTTGCAGAAATTCACTCCGTCTGTTCCTTCCCATCCGGATTCTGACGGCCTCTATGCCACCACTTCCAGCACATCACTTGTTTGGCCTGGGGATGTGAAAACTAACTGGATATCATCACTATATGGAGGATACCAGACTCTAGGCCAAAAGATGACCTCCCGCAGAAGTTCCATGTACATGTTTAAAAGGAGTGGTAAGTGGGAGCGCCCTGGAGCATGTACAGATTAGCTGTCTCTGC